TTGAAATACTAGTTAAAAATATTATTTATTACTATTTATAAGTTATGCATTATATTAGTATTGCTTTTTTATCATTGTATTTCTATTGTATAATGAAAATTTTTAACCAATATTATGCCTTTAATCAGAAAATATTTGTAGCACCTGCCAAAAGTATTTTAAATGGGCCCATGAATTGAAGTTATTTTACATGCATTGCATGTTTTACAAAAGGTGATTAGGGTTTTTTTTTAATGTATTATAGCATTATTAGACTTAAATTGCCATTCCAGTTATATGATAAAACCTTTTATAACTACTTAAACACTCTTTTTAAAACATTAGCTATTGTATAATGTAAATGCTATATAATATTTTACGCACGCTTCTCTCTATCTTTTTTTTTTTTCAAATAAAGTATTTTATTAATATTTTGTCGATATCGTGCATTATTAGATATTGTATATGTTATGCAATGTTTCACACAAGTTCTCTCTCTTTATTTATTTATTTTTTTCAAATAAAATATTATATTGCTATTCAAGTAAAATATTATAAATGTTATATTATATTTATGAACTAAAATGCAATATAATATTTATCAAATTAAATAATGCATTATAAAATGTTATCTTGCATAGGTAATATGGTTTTGAAATTTAAAAATTACTTTTATTAATTTCTTTTTTTCTTCTTTTTTTTTGAGGAAATTGTAGCCGTTAACTTTTAAGAAAATTTGACATCAGGGTTAATTTTACAGAAATTATTTTGTACTTATTGCACATGTCTTACGGAAATTCATTTATGAGGAGGGAGGGGTACGGATTACAGTTTCATCTGACAAAGACAATTTTATCCTATCTGGAACTGACTTATCGATTCATCTTTTCATCACATAGGATAGAATGTTTTTTGTAAATAATTAATTCTTTTCTAGATTAAAAATGCTGATAATTAATTAATTCTTAGAGCAAAATTAACAATTTTTGTGATAGGTTAGCTCTTGCTAATAGTTCTTATTACTACTTAGCATTTTTCTCTTTGTCAAATGCTATTTTAAATAGAGATATTCAATATCAGCGCAGTAAACAACTGTTGAATTATATACAGGGCTGTTATTTATCAAGAAAAAAAATCGATAGTCAAATTATCTCTTTTCCATCTTGTTTTGGGGTAGAGAATACTCGTAAATGCCATAACTTATTTTGAAATCTAATATATAAGGATATAACGTATAGTAATGTAACATATAAGTAACACTCTTTTATATCTGAAAAAAAGTGTCTGGTTTTTTATAGAAAACAGTAAAAGTATTATAATTGTTAATAAATTTTAGTGACTATAAGCATTTTGCTATTTCCAAAAACTAGTAATTGGAGTAAAAAAAAAATATCGTAAAGTTACTGTACTGTATGGCATTTACATTTCTGGTAGAAAAAGAAAAAAAGAAAAGTCTGTAATTAAAATTTAAAATATATGGTATTTTAACCATTCATTTATCAATTTTTCTTTTTATATAGTTATGATTGACTGGAAATTCTGGTTTTCAAAATTACAGTTCTTAAACACATTTAGTAAGAAAAGCTAAACTGAAAAATAAATTTAACCGAATAAATGGATTTTATTTCATGCCGCAGATTTTTAGCACATTTATAAAATTTTATCACACATTATAAAAGCATATTTTTTTTTGGTAATTTTGCCAAACTCCTTACTAAATCGCTTTGTTAATAATTACCGAGCTTTCTGGTATTCCTATAGAGCCGAAAACACGATAAATTGTACCATACTCTGGACCATAATTTTTTTCTCAGAGTAGAAAGGAAATGGTTTTCAAACCATTTTTTTCTCCCTCTCTTTCGGGAGCAGTTACAAGTGTGTATTTGAGATACTGTTTAACAATCTAAATACAGTAGGCAAAAATCGTAATTTTATAATTTTCTTCAATGCAATAATTCCTAGTGCGTATATAATGCTCGCTGATTTGTAAACTCACTGGCTATCAAAATCAGCCACTTATTGTCATAAATTTTCAAAAATAATTAACTTATTTTTAGGCTAATTTCTATGCTTATTAGCATTAAATTTAAATTTTACTAACTTTTATTAAGATTTCTTTTTGAAAATTATTTTTTATAAATCAATGCTAATTTGCCTTAAATATATTCTATCGTTCAGTTGCACTCGTAATGCTGTCTGTGAAAATTGAAAAAATACAGTCTCCTTTCTTATGAAATAGATATCAGCCAGTGGAATCAGCCGCTTATTAACTTATTATTTATACTCATTTTTATGCTTAATAAAATTAAATTTAAATTTCACTTAATTTAATGAATTTTTCTTATTTTAAATTATTCTTTATAATATTATGCTAACTTACTTTAACGTATCCTATTGTATTGTTGTACTTGTAATGCTGGGAAAACTAAGAAAATACAGTCTCATCTTAGAAAATACAGTCTTCTAATGAAGTAGATATCAGTCAAAGAAATCAGCCGTTTATTGGAATCAAAGACGTCACGTACCCATGCGATCACGAGTAAATCCTCTGCATATTATTATCAGCCATTTATAAGTTAAATCATAAATATAGAACTTTCTAAATCCAACATAATCCCTTTACTTAAACCTACTAAAATTGAACACTATAAAATTAAAAAAAAAATTTAAATTTTACCACACATATTTTTTCTAATTTGTATTATGAAAAAAATTTCTATTGAAAAGAAAAAATTATTTCGTTTATTTAAAAAGTCCTTAAGTACCAGTAAGTTAAGTTGATTCTTTTTTTCGCTAAAAGTTTGTTTACACACATTTTTATTTCGTCTTCTAAATTGTTTCATTAAGAAAGAAAAGCTTAATTAAACCAAGCAAGGACGTTCAAATATTACGCAAGCACCTAAAGAGATGGAAAGGTGAAGGAAAGGTTTGTAATTTGCTTCTATTTGGTAACAAAGAGGTAGGAGGGAATGGACAATACTTACATAACATACTAATCCCTTTATTTTCAATATTTTTAAAATGCAAAAAACTTGGGAAAAAGGTTACATTTACAAAAATTTCAAATTTGAAACAAAAGCAGATACTCACTCAATCTACTACGGAATTTTCGTAGTTTAAGAAAATATTTTTCATAGTAGAACAATGGTAATGTATTTAAATTTTAATATCTTTGATTCAAGAGAATTTTGTCCATCACTAAACACAAGTAATTTATTTTAACAGATATATAAATGGCCATAAAGCCAATATTAAATTTCCTAAAGTTTAATATTTATTTTTAAAAAAATCTCTTTGTTTAAAAAAAAATCTATCTTAACTCTCTTCCACTGAAAAAAATAATTTGCAACAGTCTTTAATCGTTGAAATCTCTGCAAAAGTTAAATTTGGGAAAGAAAAGTTTGAAAAAATACTTCTTCATGGAATTCCAAAATTCGTCTTACGCAGAGATGCATTCTTATTTGAATTTAATCTTAAAATTCTTAAAATTGGATTACCACTGCAAATGTTAAAGAAAAGAAGAAAAAAAACAAAAGGGGAATAGTGTGACTTTCTTACGCAAGCGGGGTGGGGAATTAGTAATTTCTTAAATTTTTTTCGACGTGGGGGAGTCCAAAAAAGCCAAAAGTTTTTACCTAATATTCACATGATCACAAATCAAACATTTTCTAAGCTAATTCTAAAAAGAATATTTCACTACATTAAAAGCTTTTACATAAATCATTTTTTTCATTGAATTTAATTAACAGAATTAAGCATTAAAATAAATGTCAGGTTTTTCTTCTCAGTTTCAATTTTTTGGCTTGTTCATGTAAGTTCTACCACTTTACAATACAATATACTCAGCACAGATGTGTCAATAATATCCCAGCAGATTCCGCGATGAATGGGGTATTTAATGGAGTAATGACCTGAAAATTAATCAAAACCAATGAATAATTATTAAAACTATATGGGACGTGGTGGCTCAAGGGAGAGAGCGCAGGCCTCCCAATGTGATGACCCAAATTCGAATCCCAGCGATGTCTGGTAGAGATGAATTCGGCACCTAGCCCACAGACGTAAAATATTCTCAGTGGTGAACAGATCATGGGTTAGAGTCCTTTTGTCGTCAGGCTAACCGTGGGAGGTTTCCGTGGTTTTCCTCTCTATGTTACGCAAATGATTAGTTCATTCAGAAAATCCTCCACCGGTTATAAAATAAAATATAACAACTATATGGCCCGGATTTTGATGATATTTGCATTTCTTTTGGCATTGTTTTCATTTTCGTACTTTTTAAGAACAATTTTTAGAGATCTTGATTGGTTTTCTTTTCGCGTTTTAGTTTTTTCTTTTTATACTTTTTATAAAGTTTTTAAGCAGTGGACCAATTCTCATCTGAAATATCTCTGATTTTTTTACTTTTTGTAATCCTTTTATTACTATTATTATTACTTTTTAGCATAACATCTATTTCATACTTCGATGAAACATGCATCATAATTTCTCTTATTATACTAATTTAATAGCAATTATATGTCATAAGAAAATTTAGGAAAGAGATGATGTTCAAGATTAAAATTCTTGTTTAATTATAAGGAAAGATTTAAGGGCATAATTAAATTTTTTTTTTTTTTTTTGTATTTCTGATGTTTTTAATGACATTTTTTGCTATTTTTAACTATTAAGGGTAATCTTCTAAAAATTTTTACTTTCAGTCACTTAAATCCCGACCCTACTTAAAAAAACTTGCTACTAATTATGCCTCTAATTATGTCATAATTCTGCAGTTATAAATTACGCCACCAATTATGCAATTTTAAAAATTGAGAAATTTATAATGTTAAAAATTTAATTACTGCCCCCTTCTCTTTTCCCCCATGGTTTTGCATGACCCTACCTGAAAAAAAATATTCTCTTGACCAATGACAGATTATTCACATTATATATTTAATGAGACAGATTAAAATTAGTAAAATGTATTTCCTCCTCTCCGAGCAAAAGAGATGGTCAATAGCAATAAATAAAAACAAACATACCTTGGAAAGGATAACTAGTTGGATAAAGTGGCCTGAATACGCAATCGGGGGTCCATCGAAAGCAAGGGGCCATATCTGTCCCCTGTAGTTGCTCAACACTACGTGAATCCAGAATTAAATGAAATGCTAGCGAGTAATCAAAATCAAATCCGCGCCGAATTAATTACACTTGCCGTCAACTCCGATCGCCGTCACTGCGCTGGAGGCATCAACTGATGGACCCATGACTGAAACCATGTTTACCAACGAATGGGCGGGACTTAAGTTGCAAGGTTTCTGCTTTCATTGGCTGGCGGCACGTACCAAAGGGTTCTCAATTAAACTCCGCCTACATTGTGCTTGAGATTTCCCCCTCTGCTGTTTGGCGTGGAAAGATGTCAACTGTCAATAACTTTCTGAAAAAGTTTGAGGAACCTTAATTTGTTATCCCTCATAAAAGGGGCGTCCCCTGTCATTGTGGGCGTGTTAGTCATTGTCGCAGTACTGAAGCAGCAAATTTTAATCCTTTTTGGGGATAATAGATTTTAATCCGGTATTTTTCACGGAGTAAGGGGCGTGAATTAGCGGTCCTACTTAGTTATTGTTCAATAACTTAAACAGTTGTACATTTTTAAAAAAAAAAGTTTTTTCTGATAAATGATTTTTTTGGAAGATAATCCATGGATTAATAAGTAAAAGTAAAAAATGTGGTTAAGCAGTTATCCACATAATTTTTTTCATTATGTTGTTAGCCGGTATGATGAAAGGAAAATGTAAAGAACTAATTTTTGTTACTTGTTTACAAACTTTAACATTGTTTAATAATTTATAGATTTTAAGAGTTGAAGGGATTCAAGAAAATTTAGTAATTCGTTAATAAGATTAAATATTTAGAAATTAAACTTTATTATTGCTTATTTACATTTCCAAAATATCAAATTTAGTAACTCTTTCAGAAACAATATTTAGGACGTTGAGTATTACCTTTACATAGAGTTAAGCATGAAACCCATAGGTCACCTGTAGTGCAACGTTTATAATAAAATGAAGTAAAATAAGACTGAAATTCAAATTGTTATCTAGATTAGATTTAGGGGTTAGATTAGATTTAGGTTAGATTTTTCTTAATTTATAGATTTAAATCGTTAAAGGGGCTCAAACAAATTTTATAGTTCATTAGAAGAATTAAGTCATTTTTAAACTTTAGTCTGAGACATTAACTTTATTATTATTTAAAGATTTAAACACTGTTAAACAGATTCAAACAAATTTAGTATTTCATTAGAAAAATTTAGTTATTTATAAACATTATTTCATACTTTTAATTCATTATTAGTTATAGATTCAAGCATTGTCAAAAGCATTCAAACAAATTTAGTAATTCATTAGAGAAATTTTGTCATTTATAAACATTAATACTTTAGACATTTAATTCATTATTAGTTATAGATTTAAACATTGTTAAAGGGATTCAATAAAATTTAGTAATTCATTAAAGAAATTCAGTCCTATAAAGCCATCAATATTTGAGACATTCACTTCGTAATTATTAACAAATTTGGATTTCTTAACTTATTCAAACTAATTTAATAATTCATTTGAAAAATTTAATATTTTATAAACATTAAAGTTTGAGACATTTATTTCATTATTAGTAGATAAAATTATTAAAGGGATTCAGAGAAATATGATAATTCATAAATAAAATTTGTAATTTATAAGTATTAAAACTTGAGACATTAACTTTTATTAGAAAAGGATTTAAATTGAGGGATTCAAGCAAATGTCACTCAAAAATATACTACTAATATTGAGACATTAACTTATATATACAAATATATACAAATTTTTTCAAATTTAAATTGCTTTGATATTTGTTTTGATAATTGATATTTACAAATTTAAATTGTTAGGGTTCAAACAAATGTAGCAAATTATGATAAACATCAATAATGAAACATTAGCTTAATTATTGTCTACAAATTATAGTTTAAACACTTTAATCTTAGCAACGTTTAATTTGGCTACATGGCAAAACCGTTTTCGATATTTTAAACCACAATAAAGTGCAATTTGCTACATTTTAAGATTCTAAATTAAAACATGTTTCCTATTAAATTGAACTAATATCGTGCAATCATATGCAAATATTACAATGTAAGCACTACATTGGGTCGGCTGTTCAACGACGCTTATAATATAAAATAAAATGTAAGCACTACGGATTGTAAAAAAATTTCATGTATCTGAACACTAAATATACGCCCAACTGATGTTTCCCTAAGGGTTCTACTACACTAAATTTTAATATAGGTCCTCAAATAATCTCAAATGTCCGAAAATATCTGATCGTTTTTTTTTATTTGCAATGAAATACATAAAGAAAGTAATACTCATGTTTTTTTAAACACGATAATTTGTCTTACGGAGAATACTATCGAAGAGCAAAAAAGTGACATGTTCTCAAAAAAAAAAAAAAAAAAAAAAAAAAAAAAAAAAAAAAAAAAAATCCTCAAAACCGGAGGACAATTCTCAAATATCCACAGTTGTACTCAAAAGATTCAAGCTCTTTGAGACGCAGGAAATGTTCTGAGATCTCAGTACATATGTCTTCAAATGTCCTCGAATTGTCCGAACGCATCTCCTCGTTCCTTACGCTACACCAAAACAATGGATAGTTCCTGGACCTTCTTTTTACACTACTTGGTGTAAAGTAGCGGCCACCATGTATGTTATATTCGAAAACACTGAAATTTATAACAATAAGCTACGTAAGAGTTACGCGTAAGAATTAGTAAAGTTACTTTTACGATACAATCTAAAGCAAGAATCATAAATTTAGGATACATATACACAATATTTCTTAGAATAAAATTAGTTTGTTAATCAAGCATACATGCAGCACAGACGGAATATTAATATGAATTTGATCAAAACCAAAGTGAATAAAAGTTAAATATTATAAAATTATTTTATACAACTGTCTGATTTATATAAATCTTATGAGAACATAAATATCATTACTAACTAAAAACGTACATGCATTTTATAATAGTTAATATGAGTAGTTTGCCAAATCAATCCGACAAGAAATTTTAGATTATTTCGCAAATAATCGACGAAAATCAATATTTTTTATTAATCAATAAAGAGGATTGGAGCTTGATTGGTATTAAATAGACTATAACAAATTTGTCAATACAATCCAAGAAGAATTCACTTCTCACCGTTACACTTCATGTAAACAAACTGCCATTATGGCTACCATATTTTCATTACCTTGAAATTAGCACAATTATTCGTCTTTAAGCTTCTAATAGTAATCTAGAAGTATTTTTTATGCGATTAAAACATGCCTTACCATCATTTCATATAAGAATTTACTTGAATATACAATAATTATTCGCCAATTTACGAAGCACCGTAAAACACAACCTTCTTCACTAACGACCTACAGATTGGTACAAGCTTTATCAATTATTGGTGTTAAGACTCAAGAAGCGTAAAAGAAAGCTATATTCGGTATTAACTTGAAGTAAAGTACAGTACCGCTCAAAAGTATCAGTACACCTGGAAACTTATAAAAAAATGGCAAAATTCAAAGTGTCGTAACTTCTTTAAAAATGATCAAAAATGCTTCTGCTTCAGCTCATTTTGAAGCTTAAAATCTCTGCTTTTATGAACTTTAATTGTTTTTAATTAATATATTTTGCAACTATGTACAATTACACTCTAAACAATCGTAGAAAAATGTATTAATTTTTGTGAAGTTTGATGCAATGTACGGGCACAAAGGCGTTAGATATTGTTAATTTTTATTATACCATTGAAAAATTTGGATTTTTAGTTTTCATTTAAAAAAAAAATTCCAAAAAAACATGCTTTTTGACGAAGTTATTGTCAAATAAAAAAAAAGTTTTTTTTTCAGAATTTAATGATTTTTCAGCAATTATAATGAATTCCGCACAGGAACTATTTAGGTTCGTCCTCCTACCTTCGGTCTTCGATCCATTAACCAGCATAAATCATATGTGGAAAGTCCTTCAAGAGCAGTGGCGAAAAATAGACAAGATAACATTAAAAAAGCTGATTGATCGGATGCCTCGAGTGTGTGCTGCAGTTATAAAAGCGCGGGGAGGATATTTTGAAGAAAGCAAAATATGATGTAAAATATTTTTTCATTATTACATTTTTGTTTTCAAATTTTTTCTGAGAAAAATACGAAAAAATAAATTTCAAAATATTAAATTGTAAACGTTGATTCTTATTTCATTATTATATTTTCCCAAAAAAAAAGTTAAAATTGTTATAATAAATTATGAAATAATATTATCGAGAAATATTAAATTTTAATTTATTTTAATTAAAAAATTTTCATATCATATTATAATTACACTAAAATTCATTATAATTGCTGAAAAATCATTAAATTCCGAAAAAAAACCTTTTTTTTTATTTGACAATAACTTCGTCAAAAAACATGTTTTTTAAGAATTTTTTTTTTAAATGAAAGCTAAAAGTCCAAATCTTTCAATGGTATAAAAAAAATTAACAATATCTAACCCCTTTGTGCCCGTACATTGCGTCAAACTTCACAAAAAATTAATACAATTTTCTATGATTGTGTAGAGTGTAATTGTACATAGTTGCAAAATATATTAATTAAAAACAATTGAAGTACATAAAAGTAGAGATTTTAAGCTTCAAAATGAGCTGAAGCAGAAGCATTTTTGATCATTTTTAAAGAAGTTATGACGCTTTGAATTTTTATAAGTTTCTAGGTGTACTGATACTTTTGAGCGGTACTGTAATTATTCACACAATTTTTAGAGCTTTTCATCACAAAATTCAGATAGGCATTACACCAGAGTTTTTACGGTGTGTTGTAATATATCTCTGAATATAATGTTGAACAAATCAAAAAACTGTGCGAAGGAACACTTTGTTCTTGTTTAACAGAAAAACGAATGCTGTATACAATTTAAAGGGTGTAATTTAAATCTAAACACTTAAAATTGAATAATCTTTACGGCGCTTAGTACTTTCACTCGCGAGAAAATTATTTTCACATCAGAAAACACCTATTTTTGCTCGCTTTGAATTTTAGAAATTCAAGAAAAAAATTCAGAAATTCAAAAATATCGCCAAAAGTTTGTTAGCAATCTAAAATGAGATGGTGAGAGCTTCTTGCTGTTTTCTACTCTGATATTAATCTACAGAAGCAAAATTTTGCCGTTAAATATGTATGTATGGTTTTAGTTGGGTAAAATGGATAA